GATACTGCATTGATGGTCTGCCTTTCTGTTAGCGAACAGTACGTATCATAGCTGCATCAATCTGTGTTACCTTGTTGTGGCCCATAATCTCACCGGTGGAAGAACCGGTATCGAACATGAAGGCGTGCCCGAATCTATTCAAATGGTCGTTGAGTCAGGTATACTCTCCGTTACCTCAACATAGCTCTCACTTGTCTCGTCCATCGCCTACCGCGATGATACGCTTGCTTTCACCATCCCATTCAAGGTCGTTACTAGGATCCAAATCAGAGGGCAGCTCCGAATAGAGATAATCGACAGACAGAACTCACACCCGTCCAGCGAGTACCTTATATTCTCCCTTCAGGGTTTGGTCCTCTCCAACAATATCCCATATCCGGACTAGACAGTCATCAGTCCCTTCCCTCAAGATGAACTTGAGAGGGCAACGAACCGTTTCCAGCTGTATCTGCGGAAGCGCAGTAGTATCCCGTTGGAGAGATACGCGCGACCGTCGCATTATGTACGTGTCCAGAATTTGCGATCACGTCCGAAGGGTTCTATTTTCTGTATTATCAGGATCTGGTTGAGTGGGTCACATCGAAGGAAGGGATACCTTCAGATCACGAATCTAAACTTTGTTGTGGTGAGTATATTGATCGTATGTAGCAGGATTGTACTCACAATAACAGTCCTCCCGTTGGTGTATGCGATCTTATCCTTGCTCGCACTGAGCTTGGTGGAAGACCCTCGCGTGGTCGCGGGGTTAACTGGGTATACGACCCCGGGCTTGAATGACATGACTTGTCCGAATACTTTGAATGTATTTAAGCTGAATCTTCAAATATCCCAAATCAAGTTTGCCTTGTTTCTCTATACGGACGCTGGGACGTTTGAGAGAAGAGTGCCTGGTATATGGTCGCTGCTAAAGTTACAGAAGCTGTTGCTGCGAGTCGCGACCTTGATCAGATACAGCTGCTACCGGTTCACCGGTTCGGCGTCGCGATCGACGATCAATGACGTCAACGACAACAGAGAGAAGTCGTTCGAGTGAAATCGAGTGTCGCAGGAAGTATCAAGTTGCAAGATGTTGCATTCAGTATCTATCTCACAGCAGTCTGCAAATATATCCAGCTGAAATTATGTGTAGCGATATGAGTACCGACACTGGTACCGCCAGGTTGCCAGTACAGCGTAGGCAGCAGGATCGCGGGTAAGTACAAGGCATGAATACAAATCCCAAGTCCAGCAGTGACTGGCACTGTCATGATCCTCTATGGAATGTTAGTCCGTGAGTTACAAACTCCCAGCGTGATTTGCTGAGCCTGAACTCAGAGGTGAACAAAGGGTTCGAGCACCAATGAGTACTAACTCACCTGATTAGCAATGAATTGCATACAATGTGCAATCAACGCGCAAGAGTAGGCCGCTGCTCGTAGACCCGAATCCACATAGGCTGATGCCTAACCATGCCACCCGCAACCTGATGCCAATCGGGCTCAGCCCCAGCAGCCAAAATCGAACGCAACACCGTAACCCGGTCATTATCCGTAGCATACATCATAGTATACGCATCCGCGTTCGAACCAGTGGCAACGACGCGAATCCCCTTGCAAATCGTATCTTCGTCGTATGGCGCATCGTCAGGAGGGGGTGCACAAAGCGTATGGGAGACGGGGGCGTTGGCGAGGTATGTTTCTAGGCCTGGGTAGATGGCACTTCGGATGCGAGATAGGCATTCGAGATGTGAGAGGCATCCTTGGGATTGGGCCCAGTTCTCCAGCCAGGTGTTGGTCACGGCGTAACCGTAGACGAACAGAGGTTCGTTGGGTTTCCGTACTGAGACGCCGTCCTTCCTAACGTAGATCTCGACGCGTTCATCTCGTAGCACTACGTTCGGTAGAAGGTGGACAGGGCACGCATTCACGATGCTGATCCAGGTGTATCAATCAGCGGGGGAGAAGGAGTGCCTTTGATTCCACACACCTCTTCCGCACCTTCTTCTTCTGCTTCGTAGACGTAGTGCTTGACGAGATGATTGAGATTGCAGACATGTTCCCAGCGTAATAATGGGGGTGGGCTTCAACCTGAATAGAAACGCGGTAACGTGGCAGGCTATATCCGGTCGAACACGAGTGCTGCGCGTGTTACGGCGATACAAGATGGGTGCTAAGACGTATCGAGATACAAGGACAAATCCCCTTGGCACCCATGGTACCTTTCAACGGTCGCAATCATGCATTCAAACAGCGGCATAGGGCTTCTGTGTGCACAAAGAAGTTAGAAGAAGAGAACTGAGGTCGGTCTCATCCTCTTTCGGATGATGGCACCCATATCCGGCAATGCTCTTCCCTTTCTTGGCCCATCTCACAACGCCACAACAACACCTGGTCCGTGCGCACCTCCCGACCCTATAAAAGCCGCCGCCCGACGTCCTTGATTCCTCACCACTCTGGCCTTTTGGCTTAGATCAAGTGTAGTATCTGTTCTTAATAGTTTAACCACTATTATGAGGGCACCGCCCTCATTATTTGGTTATCTAATTTTTGCCGCCCCTGTTCCCCGAGCTCTGCTTGCAACTCGGGGACGCGATGACCTTGCTATTGCAGTATCGGCTTGTGTCGTCGGGGGATCCCCTTGGGATCTCTTCCCCTCATTAACTCTTTCTTTTTGCTGGTCTTCTTGAACTTGTCAGTTGGCAAGTTGTAGAGGTCAGCAAATGGAATGAGTATTTTGAGGTTCCTTCTTGCGGCTGTTTTGCGGTTTTTCTTTATTCTTCCGCTTTTTTGTATTGCTACTACATTGGCATTATTGGCTTTGACTATATGTATTTTATAGTCTGGTCTTCTGCAACTCTAGTTTGTGTTTCTCCACTGCTCGTTCTAATACTTTGTACATGAGTGCAACCCACTCCTGTTTGGGATTCTCACCCTCTCCAACCCCTCGAACCCACTCTTCCGCTTCCCCACTCTTATCTATATCCTTCCACTCCGCTCTCAACACTCCTTTATTCTTATACATATCCTTCACCCACCCAGGGACCTTCCACTCAGGCTTTGCATACTCTCCCCCAACGAACTCATGCAAAGCATCCCGATAGTCGAATTGCCGATGTTCATCCAACATATGCCACAATTTTGCAACCGCAACATCAGGGTCATAGGGATACATCGGAGGTATCGATGCTCGAATCTCCTCGTAGCGCGAGACGATCTCGACGGCTTCCTGTGTAGCGTCTAACGATGAAGGCTCTTCAAATACTTTCACGACTGCACGCATTTGCGCTTCGACTAAGGGGAAAGGTACGACACGGAATGGGAGACCTAGGAAGGCGAGGCTGGATGGCGGGAATGAGTCTGGGGAGGAAGATGTGAGTGGGAAAAGGTGTTTTGCGAGTGGGAAGACGTGGTATGTCGAGTTGTATAACTTTGGTGGGAGGGGTGGGATCGAAGGTGGTAGACCGAGTTCGAGAGGTGGGGTATCGGACGAAGGTGGTTCTAGGAAAGGGAACGAGTCCTGATATCCCGTTGCGAGTATACAATGCGAGATCCCACTCTCCGTCGACCCATCTTCGAAGAGTACAGTTCCCCCATTGTGAGAGTCATACTCCAAGAACTGCTTGATCCGAGGACGCGTTTTATACCGTCCCCCGTCCAAGTCTTCGTTCGCAGCACCAGTATACGAGTGGACTACACGTTTGTCCGGTAGAGCGTGTAAGTCGGAGGATACGTCGAGACCACTTGGACCTGCGCCGATGACTAGGACTGTACGTGGTCCTGTGAGGTAAGGGTGGGATGGATTCCGGTAGTATACGGAGTGCGTTGCGTGTCCTGCGTCGAGCCAGGCGGATAATCCGGGGGTAGATGGATACCGAGGGATACGATAATGCCCATTCGCCACGATGACCAGGTCGAACTCCTTCGTCTCTACAACACCTTCGCCCTGTGTCGAACTCTTACTCTCAGTCCGTACTTCCCATTTCACCTTCTCCGTCAACCATCGGACAGACTGGACTCGGGTATTGAACTGGATATGCTGTGATAACTTGAAATGAGATGTGTAATCTCGCAAGTACTTCAAGACTGTCGACGCATGAGGGTATAGAGGTGTAGAAGGGGGGAAAGAGAACGAGGGGTATGCCATAACGGGATGGGGAAGGTTCGTCGTTAACGAGTCGTATAATGGCGTATACGGGGGATCCGCGGTATCAGGAGGTGCAGGAAGCCTACATATAAACGAATCGCACATTGTCAGACAAATCCATCCCGACTCAATTCAGGAAACGAATTTGAAGACGCACCAAATACCTCCTACGTCTTCTCTAGCTTCAAATGCGATTGGCCGCCATAGACCGGCTTTGTAGGCAGGATGATCGAGTATGATCTTGAGGGCTGCGAGTCCGCTTGGACCTGCTCCTATGATGCAGATATCCTTCCCGTGTTCGAGAGTGGAGGATTGCTCCCAACGTTCTTGGAAGGTCGTCTGAGATTCGTCATCGAGAATTGGGTCTGGTTAGGGAGCATGGAGAGTTCAGACGGTCATGTTCGCTGAATACGAACGAGCGAAGTCGAAGTACTCACTTGGAATATCCATCCTTGTCTTCGTTTGTCAGACGTCTGTCTCCCCTTGACAATGAGGGGTTAAAGAGGTCGTTGCGGCCGTAGTACTCCGTAGTAGCACGAATCAAGTGATCCTCAACAATGTCAAGCTCTAGAGCCGGCAATGGGGAGGAATTGCAAGCCGTCGGCACTGACTGGAAAGCTATCACACTCAAAAACGCAAAGTTGTCGTCATTTCAAAGTTGATAATATGCGAATTCAACGCGTACATGGTTCGAGGAGATATTCAACGTTCAGCGAGCCGAAGCCTAGTCAACTAGGCTTGTGAACCCATCGCTATAGTACTTAGCTGGCTGCCCCGGCCTGTTTACCGGAGTCCAAGCGATGGCAGAGGTCGTTTGTCGTGACATCATCTGAGCGTACTTAACACGGATCTGTGCGCTTGTAACAACTCGCTTTCATGGGCGCTTGGCACAGTGGTAGCGCGCATGCTTTGCATTGATGATAGGAGTCCGTGCCTGCAATGTGCATGAGGTCGGGAGTTCAATCCTCCCAGAGTCCATGGATCCGAAGCGTACTCCTAGATGGGTTCGATTTTTTATAGCTCTCAGTAACATCTACGTACGTATGTCTGTGCCATTTTGTATGCACGACGAAAGCGAGCTTGTTGCGTGGACTCTGACTTCACGACGCATCATATGAACTGTAACTTGGTACTTGAGTTGAGGTTAGCGGAGGAGACTGACTTCGTTTGGTCTCGGCGAGTTGCAAGCCGTTGCCTTTTAAAGGTGGATATGTCCTGATATGTCCCAAGGGCCAAGAGAAAATAGGGCACTAAACCTCGACGTGAAAGCTCCATAGTGGATTTTGGAATCAGCCTGCAAAGCTTCACGAGCTAAGGATGCCGGTCAATCACGAAAAGGCGACCGCTGGTTCAATGTGAAGATCGAGCTATAGGGTCAGATCTTGACGCAGGCATCCCACGATTCCCACCAGCCCAAGCAATTTCTTGACGACTTGCAGAAGCATTGTTAAGCTACTGTATGGAGGGAAATACATTACTGTTGTAGCTTCACGCATTCACGGATCTCTGTCTTCGTGTCGGAAGTTCTGGCAATGGAGGCAGCCCTCCGCTCAGCTTCTATGTAGTTTGCTTAGACTACGTGAGCGGACCAACAACTGTGCTAAGGTCCTGAGGTGAATCAAAATGAAGGTCGATAGAATGCTCTTACCGGCCTCCGGGCGTGCATGTCTTCTACCGCCGTGCAGGCTAAGCTTCAGAATTTTTACAGCAGCAGCACTGGCAAATACTTATGCTATAGCCTATAGCATATTCGAGCTCAAAGGGTTATGATACATCGTACATACTTACTTCTGATCACACTTGTCTGATCATGCTGGACTATTGCTGGTTGTGCGGAACCCATAAACGTGAACCCGCGATCGGAGTTCCATAGAATGATCGCAATTTGTAGCTTCGATCACAGACAACAAACACTCTTTCTTTCCGTCTCCGTCGATGATCGGACAACCAATAACCTCCCACAACTTGAACATGTGCTTTAACGATGCTTGCATAGGTATTGAACACAGCAACGAGCCTTCAACCTCTTCCATTCCATGGGCATACACCTATCAATGACAGTACCATAGTCGAGACTCCAGAGGAAGTTCAATCACCCCTTTCCACCGTGACCCCGTAGCGAACGGATCGGAGGGAATTAATATTCACACACCCCAACGACGTCCCGACCCATGGCATATGATCATGTGCAACCAGCATCGCACTAAACGGCAGGTATTTCTACTCATCCGTCCCCCCGTCCGAGTCAAATGATGTCCTCAAGGGACCACCAACTTGCAGGAAATATAACCTTTGATCTAATGTGCTATGCTATCTATAGGCAAACGGCGCGACCACTTTCCTCCGTTTAGAAATAACTGATTAGGAGTAGAACGGTGGTCACGGTGGGAGGGACCGAACTGAAGCGAATGAAGCTTTTCTGTGATGGATGAGAAAAAGTATAGACGCACCGGGTGGACGACCCCGTTCCCCCGGGTGTACCCCACACTTGTCAAATGACCCTTGGGACGCGCCCTCAGGTGACAGGCCGGTTTCAAATCCAGAATTAGATTCTGCTCAAAAGGCTCTCGCGTAGAATGGGTTCCTTTCTTCGTTGGAGCCCCCAACATCGTCCTCCAATTCACTGCCTGCGGTCTTCATAGGTTAGGAGCTTCTCGACGTCTTCTCATCATCTCGATTCTTTTGAGCAGTAGGTCCACGTTGAACGGCTTCGAAGCGAAGTGAACCCAAGAAACGACTTGGAGATGGCTGGATCAAGTTCGACGGAGAAAGAGAGGGTCGAGTACGTAGAGGAGAAGAACTCGCTCGATAACGTCGAGACGGGTGTCAAAGAGGCTGAAGTCGAACCTGCAACTTCATGGGCCGGTACACCAGAGGAGAAGAGGTTGGTCAGGAAACTCGATTGGCGGATCATGCCTATGGCGTGTATTCTCTACTTGTTTGCGTGTAAGTGGTTGCTACTGACATCGACTCAACTGTGGGGTGAGGAGTGCTGATGTTGTTTGGCGTGTAGATCTGGATAGGACGAATTTGGGTAATGCTCGTCTTCAGGATTTACCACAGGATACACTTGGTGGTGATCCGACTGGTGTCTTGTTCGATTGGGTCAACTCGGCTTTCTTCTTCTCATATGTACGCATCTTTTCCCTGTTCAGTGCATGCTATGTATGTCAATTCATTACCTGACTAACACTCGATTCGTCTAGATTCTATGTCAAGTCCCCGCGACAGTTACCTCCAAACTCTTTCCTCCACGCATTTGGATAGGCTGCGCAGCCGTAGGATGGGGTCTCTCATCTACCCTTATGGTATGTACCATCTCTTCTCTCAATGACGCGAAAATCAACTCTTGTACTGACACTGATGCAACTCCTCAGGCGGCTGGATTTAACTTCCCGGGTCTCATCGTTGCCCGTGTCTTTCTAGGCATTTTCGAAGCTTGTTTCGGACCTGGCATTCCTCTCTATCTCTGTACGTCTTCCTCTCCCGCCTCGCAAAATTTCTTCATCTATCCTAACGATTGCCATAACCAATGATCCTCTATATTTATCTTACAGCCTTCTGGTATACGAAACATGAGATGGGAGTCCGGATGGCCTACTGGTTCGGTTTCGCCGCTGTAGCAGGTGCATTCGGCGGTCTGATCGCATTCGGAGTCCAACACGCCCATACGGCCATATCGAATTGGAGACTCCTCTTCATCATCGAAGGTGTCCCGACTGTCTTGCTTGGGTTGCTTGCGATGATCGTTCTCCCGGATAGACCGGAGGAAACACCTTTTTTGAATGAGGAAGAGAGGAAGATCCAGTTGGAGAGGAGGAGTCGGGGGTTGCAAGCTGATTTTGGTAGGGTTGTGAATAAGAGTGAGTTGAGATCGTTTAGAGGTGTTCGATGGAGAGCTTGGGTGCTTATTTGCTTGTATTGGGCTTTAGGTCACGTCTATTCTGCCTTCCGGGATTGGAGGATCTATACGGCTGGTGTCATCTACTTTGGAGCGAACTGCGCGTTGGCGTCCAACTCTGCGTTCCTCCCCACTATCATCAAGACCTTTGGAGTTTGTACGTTTCCTTAACCCTTGACTCGTACCCCGGGCTCTTGACTAACCATGGTCCCTCACAGCGAACGCCAGTGCTCAACTCCTGACAGTCCCGCCATACGCCGTATCGGCCGTTGTCTTGACGTTAACCTCGTACCTCTCGGATAAAATCCAAAACAGAGGCATCCCATTGTCACTTTCGGCCTGCGTGAGCGGGATCGGGTACCTGTGAGTGTTCGCCAAACGCCCGCGTAATTGCTTAAGGGACGTATACTAACCCGAACGTGACCTTACGCAGCTTGTTGCTGACGGTACCGAATAACAACCGCGTGAGGTACTTTGCGACGTTCTGCATTACCAGCGGCACCTACACGGTCATCGGTATCATCATTGCATGGTGTAAGTCTTGTCCTGATTGGCGTTCTATTGTGGATGTCAGAACTGAAGTCGCCGCGAACTTTTGCTTAGCTGCGCACAATTTGGGTTCCGAGACGAAGAAGGCAACGGGCATCCCGATGTACATGGCCATTGGTCAATGCGGGAGTGTGCTCGGTTCTCACTTGTTTCCTGCCGAGGAAGGACCGCGATACATGTAAGTCTATTGCGTGTATGTTGCTTCTGGAGCCTATTTACTGACACGCCGGGGGGTTGTAGAAAAGGATTTGCCGTTGCGTGTGCTTTGGCCTTCCTTGCGGCGATTTGTGGAGTCATTCTCTCGGTATGTACAATGCACGGTGTTTGCGATGTACTCTATATAACATGCGCTGTGTAGGTGTCGTATAAAATGGAGAATAAGCGTAGGGACCGCAAGCATGGTGTGCCCAACCCCGATGCCGCTGTGGACACCACTGAGCTCGCAGACAAGGTATGGATGCACGCTCGTGATGCATGGATGTTGTCGCTCACATCGCCCCATCTCCAGGCCCCCATGTTCCGCTATGTTCCATGAACGGGTGCTTTGATGACGACCATAACGACGTGCTCTGTTGTTGTATACTAGCGAATCTTGTATTATATCCGGTGTAGAACAAAAGGAGACATAATTGAGAATTTATATTGAGAAGCTTTTCCGTCGCCTGCGCGTGCGAACCGAGAATGAAATTGGCGCCAGGCGGGGAGGGTATTTTCATCCGACGCCCACCTTGGCCACGCTCGACGTCGGGCTCGACGCAGGTCGTTTCGATACCACCACCATCCATACCCCTCTCACCGTCCCCGACGACGACGACGACGACACAAACAACGACGAGCCCATGGCGTCCGAGTACGACTCCCCGACAGAGCCCACTGGGCCTCAGCCGCACCCATATCTGCACGATCCCCTCCTCTACATCTCCGGTTTGCCCCCGTACGTCAAGGACGAGGACCTTGCGCTCGCGTTCCAGTCGTGCGCGCCCTTCCGCCCCAACATCGCGCGCGACGGGTCCGACAAGCCTCTCTCGGGCACCATCCAGTTCAAGTTCCTCGAGAAAGGTGAGTCTCTGTCCTCTTTCTCCCGTCGTCCGCACATGCACCTGCCGTTTGTGGCGGACGGCGGCGACAACACGCGTGGATTCTCACTCTTTTTCTTCGCCAATTCTTTCCAGCCGAGAAAGCGCTTGCAACGCTGCAGTCCCGTCCGATTCCTGGATTGCAGCCTCCTGTTCTCCTCGTGTTATCGCCATATCCATCGACAAACCCGCCCACGCCTCTGCCTCCTCCCTCTGCTTCCCCCCGTCTCGTGAAGCACCTGCCCCCGGGCTACACAGATTCACAACTCTACGATCTTTTCCGTCCGTTTGGTGCCCTCGCCTCTGTCCGCACTCAAGCTCCGTTCGGCAAAGACACCGGCGTAGTAGAATTTTGGAGAGAAGAGGACGCTAGACAGGCTGAAGAAGCAATGCATTGCGCTGAAGTCGATGGCCAGAATATCGCCGTGCAAATATATCAGCCCAAGAGGGCC